TATGTGTCTGAATATAGAATGACAATTAACTATTGTCATGGTCTTGTAAAAGTAATCAATGTTAGACATTTTCAATTAAAATTGTTCATGGGATTAATGTTTATATACTTAAAGCATAAAATAAATATAATATAATAAAACATAATTTAATACAATTATTAATAAAGCAGTGTAATTTAATAGAAGAAGGAGTATAGATTCTATAAGTAATTACAAGAAAAATATTGCATTTATATTACACCTTATGATTTCTTATTGATGTTATTATTCTTTTCAAAATATAACGTGACTTTTATAACATTAGTCGAATGTTTTTCAGTTGAAAATTTTCTTTTTCATATTTTTCTTATTAATTAAGAAACTAGGGATTCTATGCTAATGAAAAGTAAGCAACTTAAATACATATATACAATATTAGAAAAACAAATACGTACATCTAGATTATATTACTCGAAAGTTCGACCACTTTTCATTCAATTAGGATACCAGAGGTTTTGCAAGAAAATTTCTATAGACAATATAGCATTGTAAAATTTTTATTAAGAAAAGAAAAAAATTATCGTTATGTACCTTTAATTAATTTTCTTATTATACATGTAGTATCCAACTATTGAAACTTTTGAAACAGCTTTGAATTTGGCCGTGATATACATCTTCACAGAGTAAAAATTTGTATAGTGTATCGAGCATAAGTTACGATAGAATTGTCAAAAAACTAAACACATTATCATAACACAATCAATTATTATAATATTCGAAATATTATAGCATATTACTATATTATTGCTCTAGTAAGAAACACTATAATATTATGATTCTTTTTGCAATTAATCTTCTATTTAAACTTTGTTTGATATTTCTACAAATGAGGAATCAGTAAATATCATGATGAATTATATAATTGTCTGTACTTAAATTATTTATTATTATTCGAATATAACGGAACGATGCATTATAAAATCTAACCTATGGACATAGAATAAACAATAATTCCCTATATTGTTTAAAATACATTCAATAACTTAATATTATCGAACAAAAACATTTATCACCGTACAAAACCTCAAATATAATATTTATGTGTATTATTATAGAAAACTATCCTCTATGGCAAACTTGTTCAATTACTGAAACAAATATTCGAGTGCTAAAAACGAATTTATTTAATCTGAATAACAAATTTTTCCATTGATGTATTTAATACTATTTATTTAATACGATTTCTGATTCATTTAAACTGGTAACATCGTAGCACAGAGCTTCTGTCCACGGAGTAAATTGACAGACAGATTTGTAATTAGAGGAAAAATCGGTCGACAGAGTTCCAAACGCAGGGATAGCTTTTCATGCTAACCGGAATTTGATGGCAGATGTCAGAGGAAGACAGCTGTGAAGGCTATAGAGATCTGCATTATTAGTAATCCCATAGATCATGTCATTTGTCAGCTCGTTCACCTCGTTAAAACCGTCGGTAATTATTTCGAATGCAGCATTTTAACTGGATAACAGTTACAGAGCCATTGATAATGCAATTCCTACCATTTTATCATTCATTTAATCTTCATTGAAGATTATGGCGTAATTCATAAAATTGAACGAGAAATGAAAAGAATTGAATTAACTTTCCAGGTCATTTTTATTCACTTACTATTATTTATAGTTGCATCATGATAAGTTTAGATTTTAGGAAATATATTTTTAAATTTTTTGAAAAAGATTGTATTTCCAGAAATGCAATTAATAAATTTTCATACTTGATCCTGTGGTGCTAAGTGACATTTTTGACACGTCGTAACATTCCTTGCCACAGTATACAGTATATATCAGAGATGAGATTTAACACTAATTGTAAGAGTTGAGTAATTTCAGTCATTGGTGAAATATATTTTAATTTTCTGACTATATACCTTCTTTTATTCATCATTGTATGTATGGATATTCGAACAAAATTAAATGGTATTTATAAAAATTTATAATATATAGGAAGTTTAATTATTTAGGAATGTGTATGTAGGGAATTTTTTTGAGTCTAATCGTATGTCAAAAATCATTATATAACTTTGCAGGAAATTGGAACGGATATTTTTATTTCATTATACATATAGAAAACGATTAAAAAAATGTAGGTAAAAGAACATGTAAATTCTGATGATTATTTCCTTAATATTTTATTTAAAAATGGAAGTAGTAACGAAAATTGCCAGCTCTATCATTTTTAGTGTATATAATTTTAGTTTGTCCTTTTTTTATTTTAGTTTCATTTTATTTGTGTAAAAATATATTAAGTAAATATTCGAATAACCTAGAAGCCTAATTTTCTTCAACATCTACTTTATATAACATATAACTTTTAGGATAGCTGTTTTTTAAGGCGAATCTATAATTTTGGGATGTATCTTATATACATATATACAATTATTCTTATTCTTCCTATATTTTTCCTCATATTTAGTCTTGTATAGCCAAAAGTTCTGATTTGGCTATACAAGGGATGGAAAGTTAATTATTTAAGATGGTGAGCAAGTATTATGGTTTTTATAGCGTGCCGAAATAATTTCAAAACGGAAATTTCTATAATTTGCAAACGAGATAATAATGAAGTGTTTTCTGTTTGTAAAAATAATAAATATCTTTTACTACATTATTTGCCCTACTATATTATTGATTACCTTATATTTTCTCCAAATTTTGAAAATGCATTGGTACAGAGAAAAATTTACAGCGAGATGTCAGTTATAAAATAATATCAAGAGTATTTATCTATTACAGAATTTTTAAATTATATTCAGCAAAAAATTAGACTGAAAATTAGTGCAAAAGACTAAAGAAAGTAATAATAAAAGACAGGAAAATAATATGAACCATCAAAAATATTATATCTTGAATTTTTTTACATGAAATCGTATTGAAAAAAGACCCCAGTGTAAATGCTGGACTAATGAAACTAAGAAAGTAGTATAAAAAAGGATTACTACCTGAAAGATACCATCATGATTTCTTGTAACGTAAAATCATATCTAGAGAAAAGTTTAATCTGCAACATAAATAAAAGACTAATAAATCTTGGAAAATAACACGAACAATCCACAATATTATATCTTGCATATTTTTTAACATAAAGTCACATTCGAAAAGGAATTAAACATATGGTGAAATAATAGATTGATAAAACTAAGAAAGTAATACAAATCGTGATTCGTTTTTCAAAGATATCACCTTCATCTCCTATAATTTAAAATCATACACAGAAAAAAGATGAATCTCCAGTATAAACAAATCATGGTTATTTTCTCAAAGATGTCAGCTTGATATTCTCCAACTTGAAATCACAATAACTTTTACTTTAGCGAAATAAAGGATTAAACCCGAACGCAAATAAAAGGTTAAGAATAGTAGAAGTGAGAAAAGTATCTCATAATCTCCTTCATCCTAATATCACATCCAGAAGAAGAGATTAAGCTCGGGCATAAAGAAAAGATTAAGAAGAAACTAGAAAAGTAGCATATATACCGAGTACTTTGAGTGCACTTTCTCAAAGTACTCGGTAAAGTCTTGTTCACCCGTTACCAATGATCTCATAAGTAGATAAAATAGCCAGCGACACATTAGTGGGTTTGCTAAGAAACAGATCATAACAGGGAGATCCCTCGTCTTCTCGCTGAACTTGACCGAGTTTCACTGTTCACCGGGTAACGGGGCAAGGTATGTAAAGTGGACAGCATTCATCCTTGAACATTGAATCAGCATGTAACATGATTAGGTCATTAACGCCCTAACCAAGTTAGCATAGTGCGAGGGACTTGGCTCGCCACCGTTACCCCGACCGTACGTTCGTATGTTCGTTCATAAAGCCGATACCGTGAAACAACCAAGACGAACGCGGACTTCTATATCGAGATGCTACTACCTCTCCTGTCGACTATTCCGTGGATCCAAACAGCGCCTTTACATCCTCCAACGAACGTACCTCGCGTATCGCACTCAACCTTTCGTTCTTTCCATACCTTTTTATCCTGTGGTCCCCCTTTCTGCCCTTTTTCGTCGTAAGATCCGTACTCGGTACGTTACGTTCTTTTATCACTATCTAACAAGATAACAATTGCCACCTGAGAGAATGGGATAGAAAATTGGATGATTGGAAAATTTTATGTAATCCGTTCTTTATTTTCTGTAAATAATCAGCTGTAGGAGGCTATGTGTATTTTAAGGCTATATGTATTTGTTATGTTAACAGACGAGGATGTTTATACTAAAACTACTGTTCTGCAATGTTAGCTTATGTTATATATTAAAATAGTCGAACATTTGTTACTTTAAACAGGTAAAATAGAGAGTTAGACTAATATGCTTGAAATAATATGATATGTCTTGTGAGAGGGAAGTTTGAAAATTATATTGGTAAAATCGGAAAATAATTTGACGATATACAGCGTACTTACAATATTATACGAGTATTTATATCGTATTAACCGAAACGATTTCAATACGATAGCTCTAAGCCAATTTGTCACCGAGTACACTAGCGCCACCACGTCATATTTCTACTAAATCTGTCGTGTACGTGTATTATCTATATGAAATTATTTTCGAATTTTACTGCTAGAGTCCTGGCTCTGCCTGTTTATTATATCTAATCACGTCGTTTTAAATACATATAGAATAATAAGTTGTATGAAAATAAATGAGAATATATCATTATTTTTCCACCCGTATGAATAACGACATTAATTTTATTTAAAAAGAAGCTATTCCTTACTAGTATATGAAAATTCGATATAAATTAATCATTTTGATTACTTTATTAAATTCTTATATTACATATAAATATAATAACAATGTTCGTGATAGTTGAAAATGAAGTAGAATTTAAGAAAAAGTGTATGAACTTGGTATTGGTACCGGTAGTGAATTGAAAAAAGTAGGATGAACTTAAGATTAATGTATAAACAGGAATGGTTAAAACGGTGAAAAGTAATTGAATTGGTACTTTCCAATTCCAGGCGCGGAAGGCGCTTTTAAAAAGTTAAAACCCGACCCTTGTGCTTCAAGTCCTCACATTGGCCATACACCAACCACCGCCAGCTGTCCTACGCCAGCTCGACGACGGCACAGGACTACTTTTACGCAGGTTTGCTATTATAATATTATATTACATTATTTCCCATACATGCTATAATTTTTCGAAACTCCCGAGTCCCTTCACTCAGTTGAAATTTACCATCTCAGCACTCTTGCACAATTCTTTTGCAAGAAAGAAATTCTTAGCGAAGTTTCACAAGTTACAGGCTCAGACTGCTAATAAATTCCTTTGTGTAACAGCAAATTTTGTGGATAATAAAACAAGTAAAGTTCTGTAGGTAAATTTTGCAAATTACAAGTTAGCTGATCGTCTCATCTAAAAGTTGGAAAATTGTAAAGATAACATTATGAAATTTTTTTAAGTTTTGAAGAACCTTAAGCAAGATTCTAAAGATTGTAAAAATATTTTCAATTCAATTCTAAAAGACGTAAATAAAAATCCAAAATTTGACAAACCTGTGAACAGAATTTAAAAAAAAAAACAAAAATATTTTTGGATAGGACCGTGAAAACTCTAAAAAGTTATAAACAAAGTGTATGAAGCTCTAAGAGATTTTAAATAAAATTCTGAAAATTCTGAAAATTCTGAAAATTTCGAGATAAAAATTCTAAAAGTTCTAAAAAATTCGACATGAAATGCGAAAATTCGAAAAAAAATTCGAAATAAAATTGTAAAAATTTAAAAACCCGTTTGTGCAATAAAAATATACCTTCAATATTAACAGAATTATTAGTTAATATCATTATTATCAATAACAAGTAAATAAGTGTACAAAGTGCATATTGTTCAAATTCGTCATTAACTTACATTCGGTACTGAAATAATCTCCCTATAATACATCATACATTATACATACCTACATACATAATACTTTACGTAAACGATTATAATTCAAATGGTCCAATAAAGAATAAAAACAAACAAATAACAACAATTGTAATTCCATCTCACCAAAACTCGATGGTAATTTAAAAAAAAAAAGAAAAAAGAAAAAATACTTTAAAACCTATGATTTTAACGAATTTTTCAATTCTAGTATTAATTTCCTCCACCATGAAATAAGACCATTTACAATTCTGATGTTCGATGAATCGAACGATATCAACAAATTGCCAGTTATGGCAATCACAAATTCGCGTGTTCGTACACTAAGATCTTAAGAGAATACTAACGGATCATGAATTTTTCGTGATCCTCTGTGCCTATTGTTGTTACGACTGTCGATAGCTGTATTACTTACGGGTAAACTCGTTGCACATTTTTCGATAACGACGTTTCGATTACCTCGATCCGGGATCTTTCGTGCAGCGTTCAAATTTCCTGTCCGTAGTTCAGATCGGCTTTACTACGGCCTTCCAATTGTTTCGCAGGAGCAGCTGGCAGAATTGGAATCGGCATTCGCAAAATCTCATTATCCAGACATATACTGCAGGGAGGAATTGGCGAGGTCCACCAAATTGAACGAGGCTAGAATTCAGGTGGGTATAGCACTTTCTAACCGAGAAATAGGAAAGATAAGAAGCCGTTCGATCCAATTTTTCTCTACATATTTCGAACAAAATGTTTTTCACAGAAAATTATTAAATATTACGAATTACTCTCGATTGTTCGAATCATATTCACGTACATTCTATGCAGTTGAAACGCGAGTTGAAATCAAATAGATTGCAGTTTTCAAAGATATTTATCTTTTTTTAAAATTCTTGATTTTTAGAGAGAGAGAGAGAGA